GGTTAGGCGGCGCGACGTACTTCTCGAAGTTGGACTTGAAGTCAAGTTACCACCAGATTGAAATCCAGCCTCAAGACCGGTACAAGACCGCGTTCAAGACACGGTACGGGCATTTTGAGTGGGTTGTCATGCCCTTTGGCCTCACCAATGCCCCCACAACTTTTCAAGCAGCAATGACGACTGAGTTTCGCGACTTGCTCGATCGCAGCGTCCTCATCTACCTTGATGACATCTTGGTTTATAGTAGGACGTTGGACGAGCACATCGTACACCTTCGCTTTGTTCTGCATCGTTTGCGACTAGCCAAGTACAAAGTGAATCTCGACAAGTGCGAATTCGCCAAGCAAGAGCTTGAGTACTTGGGTCATTTTGTCAGGCCGAAAGGCATTCGTCCCTTAGCAGACAAAATCCAAGCCATCGTGGATTGGCCGGAACCCCGTTGCACGACGGATGTACGCTCTTTCATGGGTTTGGCTGGATATTATCAGCGATTCGTCGAGTCATACTCGAAAGTGGCSGCTCCTTTGTCGAGACTTCAGTCCCCGAAGGTGCCCTTCGAGTTCGACGATGCAGCCCGTGGCGCGTTCACTACGTTGAAGGCAGCAATGCAAGCCGCACCTGCCCTCCGTATATATGACTCCACCCTACCCACCCAAGTCACTACGGACGCTTCGGGATACGGTATTGGTGCGGTGTTGGAACAGTGTCACGAGGACGGTTGGCATCCGGTTGAGTATTTCTCCCAAAAGGTGCCTCTCGTCAACACTCTCGACGGCGCTAGGAAGAAAAAGCTACTCGCGTTCGTCACCGTTCTCAAATGGTGGCGCCACTTTCTTCTCGGCCGTCGGCGTTTTAAATGGAATACGGACAACAATCCGTTGACCTTTTATAAAACGCAAGACACGGTCACTAGCACGATCGGTCGATGGATGTATTACATCGACCAGTTCGATTTTGACCCGTGCCACATTCCCGGTCCCGCCAATCGAGCTCCGGACGCCCTCTCACGACGGCCCGACTTTTGTGCCGTTGTGACCACGACATTCGACCTCGATGACGATCTGCAGCCGCATTTCGTCAAAGGCTACAAGTCTGATCCAACTTACTCTAAGCTTTACGCGGAGCTTTCATCGGATCACCCGCCGGCTAGCCACTATCGGATTTCCGACGGGTTCCTTCTCCTTCACACGAGAGGAAAGGACTTGTTAGTTGTGCCCCAAGATCGCATCTTACGAACTCGTCTTCTCGGCGAATTCCACGACGCACGACTTTCGGCACACCTTGGCGTGAACCGCACACTAGCACGCCTCCGCCAGTGTTTTCACTGGCCCGACGTCCTTCATGACGTCACGAGGTACATTGAGTCATGTGCAGTTTGCCACCGAAACAAGGGTCTCGAGTCCCCTTCGGCGAACTGAAACCGTTGCCGATCCCTCGGGCACCACGCCTCTCCATTGCTATGGACGTGACAGGCCCGTTTCCCCGCGATCGCCACAGCCATGACGRYATTCTCACGGTCGTTGACCGTTTGAGCAAGTATGCTCGCTTCCTTCCTTGCAAGTATCATGCTGCAGCGCCTGAGCTCGCACGACTCTTGCACACCGGTTGGATTACCAACCAAGGTGTTCCGGAAGACATAGTGAGCGACCGAGATACTCGTTTCATGTCAGCCTTTTGGACTTCCCTCATGGTTGAGTCCGGTACGACAATGAAACCGAGCTCGGCTCGGCACCCGCAGACGGATGGTCAGACGGAATGAGCACACCAGACCGCTCAGATGATGTTGCGTACGCTCATCCGTCCCGACCAGAAAGACTGGGTTGATCGGCTTCCCGACATCGAGTTCGCCTACAACACTTCGGTGCACCCGGCGATCTGCGTCACACCATTCGAGTTACATCATGGTGGAGAGAAAGCACGGATCTTCGCTGATCTCCTTTTGCCACAGGCTGCCGACATAGACGTCCCTTGCTCTCCCGCTTCCGTCCGGAAGTACCGGGACTTGCTGATCAAAGCCCGCACAAATATGCAAAAGGCTCAGATCCGCATGCAGCAGCAAGCTAACCGACGTCGACTTCCATGTCC